CCGCGGTCGCACGCCGACGAGATCCGCGCGCGCATCGCCGCGGAACACGAGGCCGCTCGTGCCCGGCGCGAGGCGAACCCGGAGCCGGAGCCGCTGTCGGCGCGGAACGGGTCGCGGTGCCCCATCTGCCTCGAGGAGTGGGACGTGAATACTCCGGGCGTGTTTCTCACCTGCTGCTGCCGGACGGTCTGCAAGTCGTGCGATGACAAGATCGGCTTCGACGCGTGTCCCCTCTGTCGCATACCGTGCTCAGAAACCAGTGCGGAAGAACTCGCACGTCTTCGCCGCCATGTGGAGAACGAGGTGCCGGAAGCAATTGCGCGTTTGGGATGTGCGTACCGCTTCGGTTGGTACGGCCTCGTGAAATCCGATAAGAAAGCCGCAAAAATTTGGAAGCGCGCCGTGGAGCTCGGGAACGTGGTGGCAATGAGACAGCTTGGGGTATTGTACGAGCATGGAAGTAAGCATGGAAGTGGCGTCAAGCTGGACAAGAAGAAGGCGGAGCGGCTGTATCGCACGGGCGCAGATCGGGGCGACGCGTTCGCGCAAACCAATTTAGGGGTTTTACTTTACTCTGAGGAGAGATTTGAAGAGGCGTTCCGGTACTACGCGCTCGCGGCGAATCAAGGCTATACCGATGCGGAGCTCAACCTTGGCTGCTGTTACAGGGACGGAGAAGGCACGGAAGTTGACCTCGGCAAAGCCAGATACTGGTTCGAGCGCGCCGCTGCCAAGGGCGACGAGGATGCGACAAGGAAACTCGCGCGCCTCGACGCGCGAGATATTGCCTAATTCTTTACGCCGCGTCGTCGCCACCTCAAACGCGGGGCCAAAGACAAATCCGAGGGAGCGCGAGCTGTTCTCTTGGAGCACGAGCGAGGGGCCACCTAAGGCCATCTAGACCCTCGAGGCTTTCAAAAATAAGCCCCTACATCCCCGCGAGCACGGGGCACGAGTCGCCCGTCGCGCATTTCCGGAGCCGCGCGTCGTCCGCGCCGCCGAGCGCGTCGAGCTCGCAGTGCCGCTCGAGGTACCAGAGCTTCTCCTGCTTGAGGAATTTCAGCTTGTCGGCCTTGCCGGCCGTCCAGCACATGTGGAAGCAGTAGGGCTCGTAGGACCCGTCGGCGATCTTCGCGAAG